TTGAGCATACAACAGGTATAATTAAACAGGCATATTGCTGGTGGAAAAATATAACATTTGCTACATATTTAGGAATTAGTTGCAGCTCTGATTATACAGGGCAGCAACAATATTTTCCAGCGTTCCAAGCATTTTGTCACATAACAACTAGCTCAGGGCGACAGTTCATTTAAGTTGACCTGAACATTTTATCACAAAAGCATGATCTCTCTCTCTCTCTCTCTCTCATAATATATATATATATATACACATATATATACACATACACACACACACACTTCCAGGGGAACTAAAAGCTTCACATACGATGCATACAATTCCCATGTGGCATATAAAAGCAACAAAAAGGAAAACACAATGTCAGCTTCCCAATAAATATGAATTAGGACATTATCTTGAAAATACAATGCATGCTAGAAAGAAGCATGTACATTCATATAATCTCTATAGTCATATTGACAAAAAAGACATACCTCTTGGGTGGGGCTGTGGATCCTAGTGCATAGACCACATAATATCAACATGCCAGACATCACAACAGGTTTGCAAAAAGCAAAGTAGCCAACCATGTGGAAAACACCTGAATTATATAGAGGATTCAAGATCAAATTGCATTATGCTCTCTTTGTTATTGGTGCAACCTGTTCTGCTGGCAAGATTAAGAAAATTGCACAGCTCCATTTCCATTAGCTGAAAAGAATGGTCTGCCCTGTAGATAAAGTAGCTCATGTCTTGTTATCAAGATGGGCACCGAAGAAGCTCTAAGGTTTCCCTGGGGTAATATTCGGTAAACAAATAGATATACTCATCAAATGTTAAAAGCAGAGTGGTTGTGACAATACAAAATCAGGGAAGCAAACTGGAACTGCTGCTCGATATGAAATTAAGTTTTAAAGGAACATATTGAGTGATATGTATTTCAAAGACATGCAGTCTAATGCCTTGCTGTTTTTCATAATACCATGCAAAAAGTATTCTGTAATTACCCGGGGATAATTTTATATGCCCTTTGTAATTTATGGAGGCATGCTCGTTCAATGCAGAGTTAGCCGGCATACTTCTCTTCTGATATATTGTGTTCTTTTCTTTAAATACATTTGTATGTTTGTTAAAAAGCTTAAGAAAAAAAGGGAAACCAAAAAAAAAGGGAACCAATTAAGTTCATTAAAATAATAAAGAAGAACTCCATGATTTTTTTTTTTTTTTACTCTTGCAGTGGGGCTACCCCCGCACTGCAAGGGTTAACTGCTCGTTTGTGTCTAAGTAACAAAAAAATCATAATAAAATTATATATATATATAGATAAATCAATGTCTATACACTATGTATATACAGTAGGACAGGAAGAAAGATTACAATGCTGCAGGGAGGGAAGACAGGCTGAAGGGAGTGCTGTGACAGCTGGCCAGCTTTGAGCTTTGGGCGAGTATATCTTTGTTATTTTAGCACCTAGACACAAGCAAGCACTTAACCCTTGCAGTGCAGAGGTAGTTCTTCAACTGAAATTGACACCCACACTTAATGGCATAGTAATAATTCAAAAACGATCACACAACTGCTCATGAGCTTGAGAAGGTCCCCTGCATGTTTATGGATTTAGGTTATTTTTATGGGCAGCCACAGACAGACCAACAACAATGTATGATCCACAGACCTACTGGACGACAGCAGTAATGGTTTCAGCCTGGACCCAATGAATGCCATGGAAGTATGGGTGTGGTTGCATCTAGGATTGCTTCTGATGTTGTGCACATTTTATCTGTTTTCATAATTTATTTGCAAGGACACATCTGGCAGAAAATGTACTCTCAGGGATGGCTCCAGGCATTTTTTTTTTATTAGCGCAACTGAATCCAAAACGGTGTCCTATTGACCATTATCATTGATAATGAAAGAAAATCCCACATTTTAGATTGTCACCAAAAAAGGAATAGATGTGAAATCTTCCAATGGAAGATTGGACCTCGCTTTGGAGGGGGGTTCTGTAATTTCCCGTTGTGGCTATCGGACAGAAAGTAAATAGCAATCTTCCCAATGGGACACAACATATGGCATAAAAAAAAAGCTGATGGGGGTTATAATCCTTCCTTACTCTATCCATGATATGGCAGAATCATCATCTCCTTTTAAATGCCTCTGTCTATTCCTTCACAGTTTTAATGGCAAAATGAGAGACCAGAGCTGCCAATGCAACAGCTTTTCTTCACTCTAGAGAGATTGTTCCAGATCTAATTCCACCCGTCTAAGGGGTATGGTGTCCGCGTGCTAGAGTATTTTATAATATTCTATATTTCCATAGGACAAGGTTTTAGAATATAAAGACAAGCAGAATTTTAGCAGAATGAGATTACAATTTAGCCTAACTGATTGGTATCCATTAGTGTAACCACTTTTTTGAAGGTAACTACATTACATTAAAAGTTATGGGATATGAATTAGAGTTGTGAACTATGAGAGTATCTAAATGTATGGCAGGAATTGTTTTAAAGGTATGCTTGCTATAGTACCCTTCTCAATTCTCTCCTGGAAACACTGTCCTCATCAATCCTTTACTGAAAATACTGTCCCATGTTATACCCTCTGCATTCCTCTCCTGCAAATACTGCCCACCCTCATTTTCTTAGGTGCTCCTTCCCTGCAGATATTAGCCTTGTCCCAGACTATAAGTACTTCACTCCTGAACATACTGCCCACTATCTTATTCTCTGCACTCCTCTCATGTAAGTATTGCTCCCTCTCTTACCCACACCCCCTCTTTCTTACAAATACTGAATGCTGTCATACCCTCCATAGTCCTCTCATGCACAAATTGCACACTGGCATACCCTCCACACTTCTCTTCTTCACATGCTAACTGCCATCATACTCTCCTCCACATGTTGGCTGCTTTCATAACCTCAGCACTCTACTTATTCCAATTTACCTCCAGCTAGCTTCCCGGCCAATCAGCATGGATCCGGCTTCTGGAAGCTGGGAGGCGGGTAATGACAAAACAGCCATCTCAATGTTGAATGGCTAGATGCTGATTGGCTGGAAAGCCAGCTTTCCGGCCAATCAGCATCAAGCCGGCCAAACAGCATGGAGCCCGCTTCCTGATTGCCTGGAAAGTCGGCTCTATGTTAACAGAAGTATGGTATCGGTACTCGGTATCGTTGAGTACCGAAAGATAAAGATTGGTACTTGGTACTACTAGATACCGAAAAAACTGTATCAGTGCATCTATATACTGTATGTTACAGTTTTGTTTCAGCGTTTGAATACGCTTTCAGGGTTTCGGAAGATGATCAAACAACTATAAACAATATGCATTTCCTTAACCTGGAAATGTTTTGATGGTATCTCCTGCTGTTGCCTGTGTATTTTATGGCAGACCTTCTCCACTGATAATATAATTTGTTACTATAAACAACCCAGAACTGATTTGTTTTCAAAATCTCCTCCATATTTGTTTACTTCCAAGTGTAAATGAACCCAACTATGTACAAGCTGGGAGTGCGTTTTACCACTAAATGCATTTAAACTCAATAGGGGGAATTTATCAAAGCAATTGCGAGTGTTTGAACTTGCACAGAAAATATTTGCACCAGATTTATCAAGCTAGTGTAATGTTGTTGATAAATGAGGTTTAATAGACTCCAATAAAGTAGACTTGTAACTTTAGGCAAAAAGCTTAACTGTCGCATCTTGAAGTGGTCATGGGGACTTCTTAAGTTGAGTGTTTTCTTAGGTGATGCTCTAGTTTCAGACAGCCGCAGGACAAGTGCAGATGAAAACACATGCAAAAAAGGTGCAAAAAAACATGCAGTTGAAAAAGTAGTGCAGGCTCTGAAGAAAACGGGGCACATGTTAAAAGACAGATTTGCACATTAAAAAAATGTATCTAAGAGGCTAAAACTGTTGCAAGTGCTTTTATAAATTCCCCCCAGTATATGTATTGTAATCACCAGTATACATTGTTAGGCTGGGCACACACCTTACAACCATCGCAAGACTTGTCTTGCGATGGTAGTAAGGTAAATTTAAAAAAACGTACGATCCGCCTATCTTGGACAGGCAGATCGTACTTGCGATGATCGCAAGCCCGCCCCGCTGAGGGGCGGGCTTCCGATGACTGCAATGCTGAACGGGCAGTGTGTGCTTGCGCACACCGGCCCATCAGGCTTTTATTTACGAACATGCTACACACCCGCCGAAAATCATACGATTCTCGGCGGGATTTCGAACATGTTCCTAAGATAAAAGTCGTGCGACCTTACAGTAGTAGAGGTCGCACGGCTCCCACACACCTTACGATAATCGTACGATCGCAGGATTTCCCCGTGATTATCGTACGATTATAGTAAGGTGTGTGGCCACCTTTACATAACAGCAAGCAAGACAATACTGACAATGCGATTATATGGCATAACAGCAAGCAAGACAATACTGAGACTTAATGAGATTATATTGTAAACAGAGGTAAATGTTTGTGGATATGTTACTACATGACAATGTGTGTGCAAGCACACTTAAAACATTTTAGGTTACATATTTTACATTCTGTAAACAGAGCTGAAGGTTTTGTGCATATTACTGCATACAAATGCATGTGTTTAAGCATGTTTAAATAGAAAGCCACATAAATTACGCCGCCTCAAAACGTTTGAGGATAAGCCATATGAATTAACTATTTTATGTAACAATACACAAGAAACAACACAGGCACCATAGAAGCCACTAGCAGGTTACTGAAATAGGAAGTCCCTTTTCATAGCTGCCCTTTAGTTCAACCACAGCTCTGTAAATTATCGGAAAGGTTTACTCAGAGTAAACCTTTCAGGGAGAAAATGCCTCTCTCGCGGACATCAGGGAGATGCTGTCCAAAAGAGGGAGACTCCCTGAACATCAGGGAGACTTGAGATCCCTGGTAACTACAAGGCAAAATGTTAACAATAGTTATCCGTGAGACACTCATTTCCAGCTGCCATCCCCAGCAAAATCTTTCCCAGTCAGTGTCTTACCTCCTCTATTTCCATCAACATTTCAGGCATTTGTGGCTATTAACAAAGCAGTGAGAAGGCTGGGAAAGCTGCAGATCTTGCTCCAGTCTTTGTCTGTCTGTACTGAGCACATGAAAGGAGGAAGCACAAGCTGCCCTTTGCACATGTTTATTTCTTGATCAGGATTATTCCTAAGAAACATTGGCAGCTTGTTGTTCAGCTTAGTAACAGCTAGCTGTAATCAAACCTTGGTTTAATTAACCAATAGCTGTTATAGGCATTCCTAAAACTGCTGATGTAATTCCTCTCTCGTAATATATTTTGTTTGTTTGTTTGTTTATTTTTAGAAAAAAGTACCAATTTTTTTTATACATACAAATGCACAGAATATTTTTTCATGATTATAATATATTAAATGCATACTAATTCACAAAGAATATTTAAAACATATCAGTATGTGTCAGTTGGGGCCCTTTTGTGCAAATGCTTATGTAGTACTGTGTTTACGCAGGCTACTGCACTTAGGGCTGCAGCTAACGATTATTTGCATAATCAATTAGTCAATTAGTTAGCCGTTTATTAAGTTCGATTAATCGGTTTTAAAAAAAAAATCCCTCCATGATGGACTACTAGTTCGTATTGAGATTGTAGTCCATCACGGGAGCAAGCTACTTTACAACACACACAAGGACCATGGGGAACAAAAGTAGTCACCCTCCAGAAGGCAGGACAGCGTCAGCACCAATTCAGAGATCATTTTAGGATCTACAGCCGAGTGATACACAAATAAGGTACAGTATTGTTCATAGTTAAGGGACTTGAATGCATTTGTAAGATTTAACTCCTGAGTTTATTGTCACTTTCATAAACAAACTGCATACTGCAGGTGCAGTATTACAAACTGCAGGTGTAGAATAAAAAAAAAACTAAAACTTTTTACAGTACACTACACAACACTACACATTGACAGCATTGGAGTACACCTGTCAAAGAAATGAACAGTGGCGACCAATTCGCTGAGGTACAGCTGCCTGGAGGGCCTTCAAGCTGCGTCAAATAAAGGGGCCCCCTCCCCTCGCTTTTTCTGTGGAGCAAGGGATCGGTGGTACGGAGCAGGCTCAGACCGCGGCCATCTTGGTAGGCTGTTCGCCACGCCCCCCCACTACACATTGTTTTAAAGCAGAACAAAAAAACCATACACATTCTGAAAGGAGGTGGACTGTCACTATTCCAGAAACTTTGCATTGGAATGAAAAAATGTTAGCATGTCCATGCTCAGGGCTAAGGTTGGCTCTCTTTTTACACGTTATGTTGCCTGCAGCCGAGAAGAGGTGCTCTGATGGTGTGGAGGTGCCTGGGATACACAAGTAGGATTTTGCAACTTTTGCCAAAGTAGGATATTTCACTTGGTTACCCTTCCACCAATTCAAAGGGTTATTAAGGGGTCTCAAGGGGTCTCTCTGCAAAATAAGTCTGGACTTCATTTCTAATTTGAGTATTAATATCCTCGTCTTGCCCCTCTTTAGTCTCCTCTTCACTGCTGCCCCCAGACTTAAGGGGTGATGCTGCAGATGTTGAGGGCTCAACAACTCTTGTAGGTGAAGTGGTTGTTTGCTGCTCCCCCATCTCCCTTCTTATTGTATGTGACTCTGTCAGGACTTTTGAATGTACAGCTAACATTTGCTCTGGCGTTAAAAATGTCAGTCTTTTAAATCTTGGGTCCAGGGCAGAAGCAAGATTTACGGTGTTTGGGATTTGTTTAGAAATGATTCACTTCCATCTGGTTTGAAGCTGGTCTGTTGCAGAGGCTAGGAAACTCTTCAGCACATGTGACTCGAAAGAAGCACCCTCATTGGAGTGCAACAGCCCCTTCACTTGAAGAAGACAGAGTAATATAGTCTTGGCCACTCATCAATACGGTAGCAGACTTAAAGGGCTGGAGAGCAGTTGAGAGTTCTACCATAAAGCTCCACTGGTCTGGTTTTAAGTCCAGATTAGAGCTGCAGCTAACGATCATTTCAAAATCGATTAGTTAGCCGATTATTACGTTCGATTAATTGGTTAATCGGATGCAAAATAAAATACATTTTAAAAAATGCCTCCAGTGATGGACTACTAGTTTGTATTGAGATTGCAGTCAATCGCAGGAGCAAGCTTGGAGTGGTGGAAGTAAAAAAGAAAAGAAAAAAAATAGTGAAATGAAAAGTGTAAAATTATACAGCAATGATTAAGAATGGCATCGGCTATAGAGGAATACAACAAATCCCAGCAATAGTACATTATAGCTGGCGGTATTCTGCATTGCGCTGTATAATGTACTATTGCTGGGTTTTGTAGTCCTCTATAGCTAGTGGTATTCAGCATTGAACCACTGTATAATGTATTATTGCTGGGATTTGTTGTACTCCTCTATAGCTGGTGGTATTCTGCATTGAGCTGTATAATGTATTATTCCTTGATTTATAGTCCTCTATACAGCCCAATGCAAAATACCACAAGCTATATAGAAATACAACAAATCCCAGCAATACATTATACATACAGTGTATAATGTATTGCTGGGATTTGTATTCCTCTGTAGCTGATGGTACATTGCTCTGTATAATATACAGTACAGCGCAATGTAGCATCAGCTATAGAGGACTACAAATCCCAGCAATACATTATAGAGCACCATGTGTGGGAAAGTGCAGGCTTACCTCAGCAGTCTTCCAGCAACTTGTTTCTGAGATCGGGCCTGTCTATCGGTGGCGGTCATCCATCCTCCCTCACCTGCTCCTCCTTACTTCTTCTCACCGCGTCCCTGTGCCGATCGTGTGGAGCGTGGATTCGGCCGGGCGGGTCTGGCAGCGGCGAGCGCGAGGTGGGGAGGAGGTGTGGCACGCAGCGTATGTGGAGACGTGAACAGGGCCCACCAATCAAAAGCCGATTAATCGATGATTGAAAAAGTTGACAACTTTTTCAATCATCGATTATGCCGATTAGTTGTTGCAGCCCTAGTCCAGATAGTGTTTGCTGCTTTGAGTAACTGATGGATCAGACAAAGTTGCTGTTACTGGCCACCTTTGTTTAATGAGTCTCTCCACCATTGGTGATGGGCCGAACAAACCTGAGTTTGGTTCGAATTCGAACTTTAGAACATGGAAAAAGTTCAAACTCGAACTCAATGCAAGTCTATGGGGCTAGAACTTGGAAATTCAATTGTCCCCTTTTTTAAAGCTTATATACAAGCTATTGGCCATAAAAAGGGTATGGGGAGTTGGGTACTGCCCTGGGGGACATGTATCAATGCAAAAAACTCTTTTTTTAAAAATACAATTTTTAACCACTTGTTGACCGGGGTGTTTACACCCCCTTGCAGTCCAGGCCATTTTTCGGTATTCAGTACTTTGACTGACATTTATTCGTTCATACAACACTACTGAAATTAATTTTATACCATTTTTTGGGGACAGATAGAGCTTTCTTTTGGTGGTATTCAATCACCACTGGAGTTTTTTAATTTTTTATAATATAACAAAAAAAGTATAGAAAAAAAACTGTTTTCCCTTTATTATGTTAGGAAACATGTATTAATACCCAATTTTTTGGTAAAATATAAAAGACGGGGTCATGTCAGGTAAATAGACACCAAACATGTCCAGCCTTGAAATTGCTCAAAAAAGCTACCACACCCAAAATTGGCCATAGGTGGCGCTTTAAAAGCTTTTACCGCTCATCAGTTTAGTGTTATCAGTAATTGATGGCCCTAAAAGTATTGCTCTCACTCTGACATTCGCGATGATATGTAACAAGTGCTGCGTAATTGGCGCAATCATCGTTTTGGCATGTAGGCACGCTTAACACATTTTTGCACATCTATGTGGGGGGACTATAAAAAATGTGTGAGGTTTTTTTGTGTGGGTGTGTACATGTTATTTATTTTGTGACCAATTGTTTTTTTACACTTAACTTTATTGTTATCACATAGGGGGATAGGAAACCCCCTATGTGATATTGCATTACAGTGACAGATCCCCTTTCCAGAGACATCAGATGTCTCTAGACTCCTAATGTCACCTTAGGACCCCCGGGGAAGCTGATGAAGCACAGATCTGCTTCACCAGCTTCTCTCCGGTTTCTGTACCGGAGAGTGACAGAGGAATGCGGAAGTGATGTAGTAAACATCTGGGGACTAAAAACCATCCCTTGGGGACTGCCACATGTCATTCTCTGCTTCAATGCCCCCACGGCTGCCTCCTCCTCCTCCTCTTGTGTTCTGCGGTCCCGCACGAATAGTTTCTGCATAAAGGGGGCCTTGAGAGCTAATGAAGTCCTCCTCTTCCTCCCGCTGTTCTGCCTCTAGTGCCCTATCCATAATTCCATGCAGAATATGCTCCAGCAGGAACACAAGAGGGATAGTGTCACTGATGCATGCATTGTCCCAGCTCACCATCCTCGTCGCCTCCTCAAATGGTGACAGTACAGTGCATGCATCCTTTATCAGTAGTCACTGGCGTGGGGAAAAAAAGCCAAGGTCCCCTGAGCCTGTCCTTATGCCATACTCACACAGGAACTCGTTGATGACCCTCTGCTGCATGTGCAGCAGCTGCAGCATTGCCAAAGTGGAGTTCCACCTGGTTGGCATGTCACAAATCAGGCGGTTTGTGGGCAGGTTGAATTCCCGTTGAATTTCCGCCAGCTGAACACTGGCTGGGTATGACTGCCTTAAATGGCTGCAGACTTTTCTGGCCTGCCTCAGAAGATCTTGCAGTCCTGGGTACCTGTTTAAGAAACGCTGCACCACCAAACTGAGGACGTGCGTCAAGCATGGTACATGTGTCAACTTTGCCTGTCGGAGGGGGGGAGAGAAGGTTGCTGCCATTGTCGCATACAACCATTCCTGGCTCAAGCTGCCGTGGTGTTAACCAGCTCTGGGCCTGACACAATGAGAGTTGATCCCTTTAAATTGTGAAAACAATTGTCTTGGAATTATGTGGTAAGTTATGTTGCTGTACCTTTATTTCCACTTAAAAAAAATACTTTTCGTATTACATAAGGAAATAAAATTGTTAATGAGTGACATTTTTTTAAGTAGCAGCCAAATTATCACAGGTGTCAGTAATGATAGCAGCATATGTTGATTTTATGGTGTGCTTATAAACGCATATGTGTGTAAACACGTGTCATTTTAAGCATCTAGAAGCATAAACAAAACATCTAGTTTGACAGATCTCTGCATGAAAACGCAAGTGGCAAATCTGAATG